GTGTTACCCCAGAACTGATGATTAATTCTGAAACACAAAGAGAAAGGACGATGCTACAAATGTTTAGAAATGTGATAAAGCAGTTCCAGGAAATAGATGAGAAAAGTGTTCTTAGACTGGTGGGTATTATGGAATAAAAAAGGAGAAAACCATGAACTGCACAGCCACATCCCAAACTGCATTTCTTTATATGAAGACATTCAATTTGACAAAAGAAAGTTTCGAGTTAGGAATAGAGTAGTTATTGTTTCTACTTTCCCTGCCTGAGGGGGGGATATTCAAACAAACTCCTTCTGGTGATTTAATTTACTTCCACCAGGACAATGGTGCTGGCACAGCTTCGACTCACTGGGAGAAACAAAAAAGGAGCCTCGCTCCCCATTGCCTGCCCAGTGGAAAAGGCTGCTCTTGGATTCCCACTCTGGCAGCCCAGAAATGCCAGCTGGCCGACTGCAAAGGCTGTGCTCTCTCCACTTCCTCCCAGGAAAGCAACATTTTACTTTATTTTTCTTAAAGTCCCCGTAGCTAATATGCCCTGAAGCCTCTTTGCCCTCTCCATCCACAGCTCCCGCCTTCCCAAGGCAAAAGGGGAAGGGAGGCAGAGGCAGATTAAGCTCCTTGCTCAGCATCACACAGGAAATCCGTGGCCAAGCTCCGTGTGGGGCTCCAGTCCCACGCTCCAATCACGGGCGGGCCCATGGAAAATCCTTTGGAGAACAGAGCAACGAGCCGTGGATCTCCACAAGCTCCCAGGTCACCAGGCACAAAAAAAAAAAAAAAAAAGGAATAAATTTGGAGCTACTCATCCACCGCTTCCCAAGGGGCTCCATACTCGGTTCCAGCTGGGATGAGCAGGAGCTGCTCCTGCCTTCCTGCCCCGGTGCTCTTCACTGGAACCTGTGGTCTTTCTGAGGTCCAAACCTGAAACTGCAGCCACCCCATGGTGCATTTCCCATGCCTACACACATGTTCATTGTTCCTGACCGCTGGACAGGGAAGTGTCCAGGTCACCAGCATCAGTGTTGCCATTGATCAGCCAGCTCTGCTGCACTGATCGATGCGTGAGCCATGAAAGGGAAGCAAAGCATCCTGACATTTGGGACACGTTTTAGCCTGTGCCTCTCTAACAACCCCAAGTGAACACTGCTCTTAGGGAAATGCAATGTTTCATCTTCTACTCAAAATCACTGTATTCCTTTATGGATTCCTTAAATTACAAATGCAGAAAGTCCCAAAGCCCCACACCAATTTACCAGCTACCAACTGGTCAGGCTGTGTGGTTGGGGCTTCCCCAAACTGGGCTGACTACAGTGAACTGGAAGTGTGTGCAGGATACTCCTGTGTGTCACTTCTTCTCTCTTCCCTTTCCCAGCTGCTGCCAAGCACCACCACCTTCCCTACAGGAATCAAACCTCTCACTTACAAATCCCCTCTGGCTCTTCCCCTCACCTCACCTGCTTCATCATCATCATCCTCCTCACTCCTCCCTGATGCTTCTGACACCACACCTGGGAGGATTCTCACCTACACCCTCCTGCCCAAACTGCCACCACCTTCCCAGGCCAGGTTTTCCAAGGAGGAAAGTGTTTTCACACCCTTGAGGACTCTGAACTGCAGCTTAGGTAGGTGCTCGGAGATGATTATTTGTATTCTCCTGTCACACAGACTCTGGCTTCTCTGTTAAGGAAACTGCTTTGCCATCAGTCCTTGACATGGCCATCTATACAGGAGAGCTAGGAAGTGATCCAGAAAGTTTAAACTAATTCCTTTTCCTTCCCAATCTTGTCTCAGTTCCACGATGGCCCCAGAAACCAGACAGCTTTTAACACCTCAGCTGAACCCCTGCTGAAGAAGCCAGAACTGATGAAGCCACAACACAGCTTGCAGCCTGTTTTGGTAGAAAAGTTCCATGATAAGTCCTTTTCTTCATGGCCTTTCCAACTCCATCTTCCACCTTTGCCTGCAAGCTGCCTGGAGCAGGCACTTCTCCAAAACCCAGCACAGCGAGACTGCAGTTCCACCAGCACTTCTGGGTGACAGAGGAGTGTGAGCAAGACAAGTGTGAGCCTTGGGGATGATGAACCCTTTGGAACTTCCCCAGGGAGCAGCGACTGCAGCAGCAAACAGAGGTTTCAGGGAAGCACAGGGGTAAAAAGGGACACGTGCTCTGCAGAGGATCCCGGGCTGGCTCGGTGAGCACTCACAGCACCACTCGATTCTTTCCACCCTGGTGTTGGAAAATCTGCCACTGCTGTGCTGCCCTGATGACAGCAAGGATGGGAAGAGACCACAGGCTTAAGAGGAAGTTTTAACCTTACTTTGCCTAGATCTGCTCCAAGGGGCAAGAGACGAGGCCACGAGTGGCTCGTACGTCACCAGCAGCGGTGAAAGGTTCCGAGCAAATAAGAGGAACAGGTTTTGGGAGGAACTGAGATACGACAGGAGATGAGCATGTTTGAGACCCACAGGACACAAAGTCATCTCAACCTCCATCCAATTCACTGCTGATGTTGTCTTTTTTTATTATTTCCACACAGGGTGCAATATTTGCCATTTTACTTGGCTGTGATTTGCACCAGGCTAGGACTGACACCGCGAGCTGGGAGATCATCAGAGGATCCACAACTTTCAGATATATTCACACAAATAACCTCAACGTGCTGCTGACACAAAGACCTGCCCAATACACGAGGGGAAAAAATGATGTCCTTAAAAAGCCACGAGAGATTCAACCACTGCTCCCTCCCCACTCACACAGGGATGCTCCCAGGCATCCCCAGCCTAAGTGGTGTTTGCCCAGCTATTTTCAGTACTGCAAAACTTAAACGGTTTCTAATCCCAGGAAACACAATGCAGGTAACAAATCATAACCAAAGAGGTCCTCTGTTCTTGACTGAGATCTGCTCAGAGCTCCAAACAGCCAAAGAGAGGAGAACACAACAGCCAGGTTGGCTGCAGCCATTTGAAACAGGTAAGTCAGCACCCAGTCCCAGCCAAGACAAGAACTCTCAGATTGCCCAACAATTCCAAAGCTAAACCTCTCCCAGAGCAATTTATTTGTTGATTAAATACAGCAATTTTTGTCACACCACCCAGATTTCCTGCTTGTAAAAACAGAAGATGTGTTTGAGCAAGCAGGAGATTTCTTCAATACAGTTAAAAAAATTGAGAGTAATAAAAAAATAAATCCACCAAGTTGCTCAATAAACTGAAACTTCAGTCTCTTCCAGGAAACGTTCCCAGCTCGGAGAGAAGACTGGTGCATGCTAAAATTTAAAAAGCATTCTGCTGCAGCATTCAGCCTTTAAAATTAAACCCAACAGCTTCTCTCTGTTATTTAAATGATCTCCTCCAGCTCAGAAGGGCTATGACCACGGCCTAAGTTACTTAACTCACATTTCTATTGACTGACTTGCATAAAAATAAGCCACATTAATGACTGAGCTGACATTTGGTACACATCACCACAAAACTCATTTCAGATCAAACATCACCCGTACAACCTAAAAATATTTCCAGCCTTCTCGCGTCCAAGGAAAGGATTTTCAGATTTACATTATCCTCCCCAAACTTTGGTCTTCTGAAGCACCAGCGGTGCAGAATCAAAGGATTAAAAGAGCACCGGGATTTTTATTTTATTTTGCCTCTGACTGAGCGTGTTACGTGCCAGGAGCAAGTTAACCTGTCCTGTAACTGTAGCTTAACCAGCACCGTGTTTGTTCTCCTTATCAGCCGAGGATTTCCGCGCCCACAGACAGGGGATTCCTCTCCAGGGATCCACACCCAGAGCAGCACCGCGGCTCCTCCAGCCCAAGAGAGCTCCAAACATCCACTTGTTGCCTTTGAAAGACTGGATTGGACCTTTTTTTTTTTTAATAATTCCCACAGCAGCCTCAACGAGCAGGAACTGTGTGTCTCTTCCCATTAAAGGAAGGAGCAGGCTCGGCAGCGACCGGAGCAACTTCCAAAAGACTTAATCCAGATCTTCCAGGGTGCAACACAAATTGGTTTATCCATCCCTGCACCCTCCAGAGGCCTCCCGGAGAGGCAGGACACACACACACACACACAGAGCCCTGGGTGTCACCTCCTGCACGGGGAAGGAACTCCCAGAGCTGAATGAACAATCTGCCAGGTGAGAGAGTAAGGCAGGGGGAAGGAGGGAAAATAATAAAACACAGCAATAAAAAAAAAAAAAAAAAGGCAATTAAATGAATGTTTTCTCATCAGGGACTGAGTTCTCCTCCTCGGCACCCGGGAGGCTGGGGGGGTTGTTAATTAAAGTGAAGTAAGGCAAATTATGAAGGGCTTTGCTGAAAGCCAGTCTGTGGGAGGGGTGGCAGGGGTGGTGCGGCGGGAGGAAGGGGGGACACCGGGACACCCCCACGGGGGAAGGTGCAGAAGAGCCCCCAGTAAGGAGCAGGGTGCCCTGGTCTGTTGTGGGGGGGGTGCAGAAGAGACCCCAGGAAAGGGCTGGGATGGGGGAAAGGGTGTCACAGGGACCCCCCACACACAGGGAGGGTGCAGAGGAGACCCCGCGGAGGAGCAGAGAACAGCGGGGTATCACAGAGACCCCCCCAAGGTGGGAACGGCACAAAAGAGACCCCAACGCAGGGTCAGGGTGTGCGGGGGGTGAACGGCACCTCCCACGGGGGAGGGTGCAGAAAACACCCCCAGGAAGGAGCAGGGCGCCCTGACCTGCTGGAAAACGAGGGGGAGACAATGACAAACCCCCGGCCCCCAAATTTATGTCACCCCAAGGGGGGCTCAAACACCCACGGAGGGGCGGAAGGGGGGGGGGGGCAAGGAAAAAATATAAATAAATAAGAACGAAGAGGAGGCTCCGTGCGGCCACGGAGGTGGAAGCGGAACCGAAAAGCCATCGGATAAAAGTTAAGCAGCTCCGGGAGGTCGGGCCCGGCCAGGCCGGGCAGGGGGCGAGGGGAGCGGACCCCGGGCCCTGCGGCCACACACACACGGTGCTGCCGCCGCCCCGTTACCTGTGAGGCGGATCTTGATGCTGGATCCGTTCCGGCGGGTACCGGGATTCGACATCGCGCCTGGAGCAGGAGGAGCGAGGAGGAGGACGAGGAGGAGGAGGAGGAGGAGGCGGCGGCGGCCGAGCTCAACCGGCGGCCCCTCGCACCCCCGCCATGCGGGCCCGCCCGCTCCTCACGATGCCGGGGGGGGTCCTCGGCCCCGCGTGGCGGCGGCCGCCGCAGCCTCGGTCGCCTGAGCCCGCGGAGCCCCCCGAGCCCCCTCAGCCCCCTCAGCCCCCGCAGCCGCCGCCGACGCGCCCGCCCGGCCCGGCCCGGCCGCGCACAACGGCGGCCACGCCCTCGACACGCCCCCGCGCACGGCGGAGCCCCGTGACGTCAGCGCGCACGGCGGAGCGGCCGCGCCCGGGGCGCCATGATGGGAAGGTCGCGGGAGGGAAGGTCGGGGGCGGGGCGGGGAGCGCTCCTGGCGGGGGAAGGGAGGGGAGGGAGGGGGTGTGGGAATGGGGGATAGGGGTGGGAATGGGGGGATAGGGCTGGGAATGGGGGGGATAGGGCTGGGATGGGGGGACTGAGGGGAATAAAGGTGGAATGGGGAGGAACGGTGTGAATTTGGGGGAATTGGGCTGTCTGGGGGTGAATAGGTGTCCTCAGGGGTGGCACGCACGGAGGGGGTGTGGGGTGCCTGGGGTTGGCACGGGGGTCAATAAGGGATCTCAGGGGTGGACAGAGGGTGGTGAAACACTGGGCCAGGGCAGTGGTGGAGTCACCATCACTGGGAACGCTCAGAGAACAAGAAGATGTGACATTTAGGGTTTGCTGGGCTGGGGCTGTTCAGCTGAAGGTTGGACTTGACAATCTTGGAGGGTTTTTTCCAGCCTTTATGGTTCTCTGACTCCAAATGCTCCCCTGGGGCCAGGACGCTGGAGGCTTTAATTAGAAAAATTACCTTTTCTCACACATCTCTAGAGGGAGGCCGGGCTGCCCTGGGGACACAGCACAGCAGGATCTCGCCCTCCCTGCTCCCCATGGATGCCCCATCCCACCCCACCAGGATGAAGCAGGTGCCTCCAGGCCTCCAGAGCAAAGCACTGAGGCCAAAACTGCCTCTCCTCCTGCCTGGGGCAGAGCAGGGCAGCTCCAGGGAGCCAGGCAAGCAGCAGGTCCCACACCCACCCCAGCAGCCCTGGTGAGCCACCAGGCACTGGTCCCAGTCCTGCAGCTGCCAGGGCACACAGCAGGCACCTCCCAGCACTCCTCAGCAAAGGGCTGTGCTCTCCTCTCCCCTGCAGCCTGGGCTGCCAGGACGATGTTGTAACTCAGGGGCACAGCAGTGGGAAGGGCCCAGGGCTCTGTGTGAGACCCTCTGGCACAGGTTTATGTCTAGCACGTGCAGGAAAAAAGTCAAAGAGATCTGCCCTTCCTCTTTCCATCTTGGTTTTAGGCATCAGAGCAGCAGCAAGTGACAGCCCTGGGAAAGGCCACGTGGGATGCTCCACACAATCCACACTCAGGGTGCTCACCCAGCCCCCGGCTCCGCTCTGTGTCTCCACTTACACTGAGGAAGCACCTTCCTCAGATTCGTTTTACCCAGTGAAATGTGACCATTCCCAGGTGCCACAGCAGCCCTGTCAGCAGTGGGAGGGCACACACAGCCCTGCAGCTGAGGGAGCAAAGCCCTGAGCCCACCCAGGGTCTTTTGGGAGAGCCAAACCCCACGAAGGAGGGAGGGGAAAATGCCCCCTCATCTCACACTGAGCAAAACCTTTGAGATGCTTCGAGCCCTGCAGGGATGGAGCAGTGTCCAGTAGCTTGTTGTGAACCTTTGGGCTCAAGAGCCACATCAACTCCATCCTCAGCCTCTGCTCATCTGGAGAGAGGAAGGACAAGGGGCACTGAGTGCACTGGAAGCCTTAAGATGCTACTGGAAAAAAACCAAGCTGTGTCATTTGCAGCAGCACCTTAAAAAGGGGGGGAGAAAATAATCAAAGGCAAGAGGTACAAAGCCAGAAGTGCAATTTTATTGACAAGTTTCAGAAGTATAAAGACTCAGCATCTCTGCTCCTTGTGAACTGGATGTCTGGGCTCTTCCAAAGCACCTTCACCCACCAGCTCAGAGATGTGTCGTGCTTTCATCTTCAGAAGTTGAAGTCTTGCTTCTCCACTGAGAAATCATACAGCCCATCTTGGCCAGTCTGAGGCTCCAGGTCTGAATCTTCCTGTGAGGAAAGTGATATCCATCAGTTATAGGGTCTGCATCTGAATAAACCCAAGCTTTGTTTTACAGCAACTTACTGCTTTATTCTTGTTTTAAAGATTCAGCTGCTGTGAGAAGCTCTAACAGAGCCCTGGGAGACCAGACCCGAGTCCTCCTGCTCCTGACAGCACACACTGAAGCTGCAGTGTCCCTGCATCCCACACACAAAAGCAGCCAAGCCTATGGGCTCAGACACCACAGGGAGAAGAGAAAGGAGTGGCTGCAGTGGCAGAACTCACTCAAATTAAACTGGAACAGCCACAAACCAGGACTGCTTAGGAGAGATGTTCCCCCTGGCATCCAGCCCCTCAGGAAGGTGCTGGTGTGTGGGAGAGCTTCCCCCACAGCCTCTCCCAGGGACATCCCACAGACCCTGCTCTGGGCAAAGGACTAAACCAGGCATTTGCTCCCTGCTGCAGCTCAACCCAGCCTGAGTCTCAGCTCCAGGATCTGCCAGACCTTTAAGCCTCTTCCCTGATGTTTTCCCATCTGCAAGATTAAGGCTGGGACCAAGCATGGCATCTGTGACAGTCACTGGACCCTTGCAGCTCCTAGCTGGTGTCCCAGCCTCTTTTTCCACAGATTCATTACCATGGGAAGGGTCAAGTAACCCAAATGCAACCTGAGCACTGCTGTCAGCCGAGTGGGAGGCTTCCATTCATAGTGACAAGCCAGCTCAGCTCCGAAGGAGGAAACTTCTCCACATTTGGTATTCACATCAGCAACTGCAGTAAATCCAGCTGATGCCAGTTTAAATTCCAGCAGCAAGATGCTATCAAGGCACCCATGTCTGCTGTGCAACTCACTGGCTGGCAACTTGGAGCTTTCACAGACCTTTAGAAGCAGCTGAAAGAAGCTGCAAGGACTACTCCAGTCCTGGGGAGGTCTCCTCCAAAAGCCTATTTCAGTATCCTCTGTTCTTCATTCCAGTGCATAACAGCTTCATATTTTCAGATGAGGAACAGCAGAGGGTCCCTTACCTCACCAGAGAAGTACTTCTCTATGATGTTCAGGGCAGCTCTGTAGACCATGTTGTTCTCATGGTTTTGCAAGTCCTCAATTTTCTCCAGACCATTGAGCTCCTCCAGCAGCAGACACAACTTCTCGGTCTCTCCCAGCTTCTCAGCTGCCTGTAACATCAGGAAACCAAGCAGGAAAATAGAACATTGCATCAGTAGCAGATCTGAGATGGTCTTTACTGTAATTACAACCCTGACCTACAAGTCAAAAGGATCACAGTCCCTGAATTTACAGTCCCTACCTGATGCCAGGGATGTGACTGTGGTGTCTGTGGAACACCAATCCCTGCTGGGACAACAGCAGTGGCTTGACTGCCAACCAAATCATCCAGCAAGGAGGTGAGGAGGGACACTTTAACCTTGTCAAGCCCTTTGGACAACCCAAGAACAATTTAGACAACATTAAGTCTATCTCTTACTCCAAAAATCAACAGCCACTGTTCTAACCACACAGAGTGAGCACTTGGCTCACTCCTTGCTGCCCTTTCGGAGAAGCAATTCAAGAGATAAGAGGTCTTACCAGGAAGAGATTTGAAATGGTGTCCAGGATGATCAGGATAGTTTTGCTGTCCTTGGCTGAGAGCAGGTTGAGCAGAGGTTTGAGGATCCCAGAACGGACGAGCTCCACCACCTGATCCACTGTTCCTCCAGTCGTGATGTTGGCCACGACCCACACGCCCTCCTTCTGAGTCTTGAAGTCACCCTGGAAAAGCAGCACAGGGAAGGCATTCCCAAGCTTTAGCATCCCTCCAGGATCAGTGTGAGGTGAGGATAGTCCTCAGCTTGGACTGACCCCCCTCCCTTCCCAGCCCTTCGAGGACACCCAGCAGAGCTGCCAAGAGCAGCTCCAGGACACATTTCCATGCAGGTGTACTGACAAGTCTGAATGCCCAGGCTGCTCCATGAATCTCAGCAGCTCCAACACAGCCTGTTGAGGTGGCTCTCGGGGCACCACAGACCTCAGGAACCCCAGCAGAGCTTCCCCATCCCTCACCTTGTCGAGCAGCTCCACCAAGGGTGGCAGTAACCCACAGGTGATGAGCTGCTGGATCTGCTGGGGAGACCCTGCTGCGATGTTGCTGAGCGTCCACGCTGCTTCCTTCTGGATGGCCGGCTTGGTGTGCCGCAGCAGGCGGGGCAGCACAGCCAGCACCCCGGCGTTGATGGCTGCCTGGGTCTGCTGGTCCGTCCCTGTCACCACGTTCCCGACGGCACGCAGAGCTGGAGTCTAGACGGGGATTAAAGGAGATGAGGACAGGCCTTACCTCGAGGGATTCGTGTCAGAAAGTCCAGCAAGATCCCTCATTAAGTGCTTGATCCCCCAAACAAGGAGAGCATTGTGTGTGAGCACTGCCTGTTTACAGACCTGTCGCCCTCCTGTTTGCTCTAAGCAGCTTTGGAGTCTCTGTGCAGCCTCCAGCCACGGCAAGCTGGAGCAGAGCAGCTGTGGCTGAGGGGACAGCAGCCCACAGGTGCCACAGAATGAGGAGATGTGCCTTCCCTCCCCTCAAATGTTTCCACATTGATGCACCAGAGGATGGAGATTGCTGACTGTTCCCTACCATGACATTCAAGTTCATGTTGGCCATGAGTTCCACCAGCCTGGGGAGAACCCCGGTGTCCACCACGATTTGGATGCGCTCGTTGCAGCTGTCGGTCAGGTAGGAAAGGGCCCAGCAGGAGTCAGTGATGATCTCCTTGTCCTCGTGCTGCACCAGGCAGATGAGGACAGGCAGGATCTTGTGCACAGCGTCCAGGGGAGGGTAGGGGTTCTTGTTCCTGCAGAGGTTGGACAGTGTCCAGGTGATGTTCCTCAGGAAGCCAATCTGAAACACAGGGGAGGTGTAAGATCCCCAGAGAGCTTCTCAGCCCAGCTTATGCCACCCTGTGAAGGTCCTTCTCCTCCAGAGACAGAAAGCAGTGGGACAGGCACTATTGCAGAAGGGCAGAGAAAAGGCACAAATCCAGCAGTTTAGAGCTACCCAGAAAGCAGCAGAAGGAAGCTTGAAGGGCAAGTTCAGCCCTTCCACATGCATATGAAAGTCTGCCTTGCACCAGTTTCATCTTATTCCTGGGCTGAGATAGTCAAAGCTGGATAAGAAAGCCAAGACTGGAAGATACCACAGTGACTTGGAGACTGTCTGCTTGGCACCCCCAGCTTTGTGCACAGGCAGGGCCATAAAAGCAGTTTAGAGCAGGGTCTCCTTCAGTTATACAAACAGCTCGTGCATAACACAGATGACAGATCATCACTGCCCCATCACCCAAGTGATTAAGAGCTGTTAAGCCAAGAAAACTGAAGGTTATTTACTGGAGTTACAGGAGACACCAGAGCCAGCAAGGGAGGAATCACATCATGGCTGATAAGAGCATCTCTGTAGAGAGGACCATCCCCTGCACACGTAAAGGGTTGGTTATTGCATCTGTCCAAGTCACAAGACAGCCAACATCAAACAGCAATCAGACCTGCAGGGCCAGGGCTGGGTGACCAGGCTCCCCCACCACCATTAGGCATTTCCAGGTGGGAAGGATTTACTGGGCAGACTGGAGTACCAGCAGGGCTGGGTGGTGGCAGCCTAACCAGACACAACCCCTTCTTTTCTCCCTTCTAACCACATCAGGGGGTTAAACCATCCCAGCAGGATGGAGTCCATTTGGCTTTGGCCAAAATGTTCTTGCAGAGCCCACACAGGATCTCAGAGGCTGCCAGGCCACATCAGGGGCTGAAGGGTCAAGGGGTTCAGTAGGGGCAGCAGCTTGGGCACAAAGCTGCAGGGGGAGAGGGCTTTGGTGAGGAGCACCAATATTTTATCACCCCAGCACTGGCTCGGTCAGTGACCCTCTGTGTGCCCCCACAGCTCTCCTCACCTGCAAGGTTGCCCAGGGCCCACACTGACTGCTCACTGATGTGCATGTGGGGGGAGGACAGCAGGGAGATGAGGGCTGGGATGGCACCTCCCTCCACCACGGCCCTGGTGTGCTCCGAGGTGCCAGAGGCGATGTTGGTCAGTGCCCAGGCTGCCTCAAACTGCAGGGCAGCATCGTCAGCACGGCCCAGGAATTCCACCATCCTGGGGATGATCCCCAGCTGGATGATCTGGTTGATGGGGGGGTCCTTCTGCCTGGACAGCATTCTCCTGCAAGAGGACACAGCACAGCCTGCCATGAGGAACCCTGTGAGGTGCCACCACAGCCCATAACCAGGTACAAGGTTGTGGCTGGCAGGGGAAGCATCACCTGCTGCAAGAGATGACAGTTCAGCATCCCACCCCAGCAAACCTCAGCACAGGGGTTGCCACAGAGAGGGAAGACACAGCTAAAGATGCTGAAGCAACAGCAGGGTGTCTGTTGGAGTGCAATAGCTCACAGATCCTTTTGGGACCATGATAATGTTCCATGCCCCCTGCCTTGCAGGAGTTTGTGATAAAAATATATGCCACGTGTTCCCTTCCAGCCTGGCTTTGCCACTCCCAGGGTCAGGAGCACTGGCCAGCCCTGCACAGACCAGAGCTCAGCCAGCCAGTTCCAGGCTGTTTTTCCAGCTTAAAGACAAACATGTAATCTCTCCTGGAGCCTCAGGAGTCGTCCCTGCTGCCAACTGGGTGATGGTGACATCCTGCAATCCTTCCTACAGCCACCCCAGTGGGGACAGTCCCACTCAGCACCAGACCCTTACAGAGCCAGGCTCCCCACTCCTTGGCCTGCCCAAGCACTTGGCTCTGGATTTCCTGCAGGATCCACTGTGATCCCTGGCACAGCACAGGCACAGCAAGGGGGGCAGCAGCTGCAGGAGCCACAGCAAACCCCTCAGCTGGGCTCAACCCCCCAGGTCCGTGCTACGAGCACTGCCCACAATGTGACAGAGAGAAGTGTGGCACCCAGGGCACAGAGCAGGCACCAGCTGAGGTTCCCCAGAGCAGTTTGGGTTACCAGGCTCCTTCCCTCTTTGCCATCTCTCTAGAGAGCTCCTCAAACAGGAGTAAATGCCTTTTTGCCACCAGGACCCACCACAGCTCCACCAGCCGCCTCCCTCCTGGCCCAGGCAGCCAGGCACATACCTGGTGGCCTGTGTGGCCAGCAGCTGCAGCTTGGGGTTGTTGGAATTCACGCCTTCCACGATCTCCTCCAAGGACAGCTGAATAATCTGTGTCACAGGCAATGATTCAGAGTCAGACGGGGAGCCGGGACTCCCTCTGGTTTAATCTCTGCAGTCAATCAGCTGTCTAGACCCGAGTCAGTCACCACTTCATATCTAAGCGCTGTCTGTTCTTTATGCAACACAGTTTCGAGATGAGGCAGAGAATCCACAAAAGCCTTCAAGGCAACTAATGCTTATAATCAAGCACTGAAAGAGTCCCTGACACACCATAATGGGCCTGCGAGCTCAGTAATTACCCCTCGCTGTGCAGGGAGCCAGCCAGGAGCTGTGCCAGCTCCCAGCGAGCCAGAGCACCAGCCTGTTCTACCTGCCATTAAGGGAGGCCAGCACGACAAAATCTCCATGAAAAATAGCAAAGGCAGAGGCCAGGCAGTCTGAAACACTCGCCAGCACCGGGCATGGCAATCAGGAATGGCACCAGATACTTGACCCAGGTCACAGCAGCTGGACTTGGTAGTGGTCCAAGTAGGGGATGGTGAGTACTGCACCCATCCTGCCCAGCTGCAGAGGACCCAGCACTCACCTCATGTGGCCTGTTTTGTCCTGGAGGGACATTCTCGTCCTGCGCATGAAGGGACACATTTCTGCGCTTCAGGATCTGCTCATCCTTCTTGGCCTTCCTGAGCTCAATGCTCACCTCCATCCTCTGCATCCGCAGGGCCTGCAGGGGAGAGGGGAACATCCCAACAGTGTCTGCATCACCCCATTCCCCAGGGAGCTCATCTCTGCAACCCCCTGCCCCACATTTCCCATGTCAGGAGTGCAGAGAGCCAGCATCTCCTCGCTGAGGCCTGGGGGGTGAGGCAGGAGATGGGACAGTGTGAACCTCTCCCTCGGTGCCTCCCAGGGACATGGACTGCTGGATGAACTGACAACCAGTGGGTGTTTTTAGAACTAGATTTGCTGAACTTGAAAGGCAAAACCCTCATCTCCTCTACTGGCTCAAAGCAAGCTGACAGATCCCATGGTCCGACATCCCATACCAGCCCCCACTCCGCAGGGATAACTGCTGTGGAGAGCTCAGCAGGCTGGGGCTGAGCCACCCCCCTTCCCCAGCCCAAAGTCACCCACATCCCCCTGGCCTGTGTCACCACACTGCCTGCAGCCCAGCCTGCTCCACATCACATCTCCAAAGCCACCTGAGCATCCCTGCTGGCAGAGCCATCCCCCTGCTCCCCCACACAGGTAGATTTGAGGGCCATGGGCCTTCAGAAGAGTCTCCCCCTCTTGGAAAGAGGAGCAGGCAAAGCCCAGTGGGCTCTGCCCTGGCCCAAAGGTGCTGGCACAGGCAGGGGGGTACTCACAGCTGCATCCTTGCCCTTGTTCTTGAACTTCCTCATGCGCTGCTCCTTCTTCCCGACCTCCATCTCAGCAGGGTTGAGAGAGGTGCCAGCTGAATGTCTGCACGTGCTCTTGGGCTTCAGGACAGAGCAGGGTCAGGTCACAACTGCCCAGCAGCATCCACTGCCATCCACAGAGGGGGCTGGGCCCCCACTCCCCCCAGCAGCCTGTGCCACACATTTCCACCCCACACTCCCACCCAGGAAGATGCTGCGGGTCCCCTGCCCCAAGCAGAGCTCGGTAGGATCCTCACACACTGCAGCTGAGCCACTGAACTAAACACAAGCACAAACTACCACTTAATATCAGGCTACAAAAATTACAGCTGCTGCTGTAATCCCATGAGGAAGCCAGGCACAGGCTTCCCATGGTTACAGAAACACCACCTTCCTGTGGCTCTGATCCTGGGCCTTTTAGTTTTACTTTGACACACAGCCCAAGCCTATGAGGGCCTCTTGCCTCCAAGAGGATCAGCTCAAGGGCTGATTCAAGGACACACAGCCCAACCTGGCTTCCTACACCAGCCCCCCAAACTAAGGAAGACCCACAGTCACATGCAGAGGCATAAAGTGACCAAGTTCAGCTGAGGAAGGAGTTCTCCTGGAAATCCAGAAGCTAGTGCAGATTGCCAGCCTCTTCTTTTGGAGGAGCTCAGCAGAAGAGCACCACAACCCACCCACTGACACCAGCCCAGCAGGAGACCCAGCATAGTCCCAAACAGCCAGGAGAGCTCAAGCAGCAGCCTCATCACAGGGAACAAACAGCCACCCACCCCAAGACTAGAAGAACAACTCACCCCAACCCCTTCTCATACTCCACCCCCCTCAACTGCCTCTTTTATTGCCCCTGTGGAGCCATGTACCCCTCCCAGCTCCCCTCCAGGATTGGCTCTTCCCAGGCTCTTCCCGTTACCTCCACCTGCTCCCTCATCACAGCCACCTGGATGCACCTGGAGGAGGATGGATGCTGATGGCTACCCTGGGCCTCCTCCTTACATTTATGCTTTGCCCACTTTGGCCTTGTTTTTGGCCGGACCCTGGGTGGGTGATGCCAGCCTGGACCTGTGCAATGTCCCGTGACACTGGAGACGCTCTGGGCACTGCCACCCCATTGCTGTGCAGGGCACAGGCACTCTGGGGATGCCCCTGGTTTTTGTCTGGGTAGCTTGTGGGTGGTGCTGCAGGCCAGGAGAGCAACATCCTTCAGTTAGCAGGGCCCAGGACCACGGGGGGCAGCTGAGGGGAACCGGCTGCAGAGGTTGCAAATGAGCCAAGACAGGATTAAGAAACTTGGAGCATCATCAGGTGCTGAGCTGCTGGCTGGCACAGGCAGAGGGTGGCAAGGAGAGAAAGGCAGCAGGAACCCTTTGTCTTCGTGAGTCCTTTAGAGTTTGGCCAGGAGCTGCTGCGTTCTGTGCCCGTCACAGTCTCCATCAGCCAAGGGATGGGTTGCACTTCACAGAATCACAGAAAATGCTGAGTTGGAGGGGATCCACATGGATCCACAGGGATCATCGAGTCCAACTCCTGGCCCTGCACAGGCCCATCCCCAAAGTCACACCCTGTGCCCCAGAGGATCATCCAAACACTCCTGGAGCTCTGGCAGCCTTGGGGCTGTGCCCACTGCCCTGGGGAGCCTGTTCAGTGCCAACCACCCTCTGAGGGAAGAACCTTTCCTGATATCCAACCTAAACCTCCCCTGACACAGCTCCAGCCATTCCCTGGGTGCTGTCCCTGTCCCCCCAGAGCAGAGCTCAGGGCCTGCCCCTCCTCTTCCAGTGGACTCTCTCCAGTGGCTTCAGACCTTCCTTGTATTGCAGTGACCAAAACTGCCCCAACATTCAAGGCGAGGCTGCAGCAGAACAGAGCAGAACCACTGCAGGGCCAGGCTGGGCTTGGCTGCAGCACTGGGGGCAGATCTGAGATGTTGAAGGCACCCTGGATCTGCACACCCTCCACTCCATCACCCCTTTTCAGCCCCGTGAACCCCACCCCTGCACAGCTCTGTGTGTGTGCAGAGGCGCCAGCCTGGTCCAGCCGGTGGGGAAGGGAGGAGCGGTGCCTCCCGAGTGGGTAGGGAAAACAGCTATTAAAATATTTAATTAAAGCCTAATTTTAAACTGCCTGACATCTCTTTCTGCGAGGGAGGTGGGGAGCAGAGAAATTCCGAGCTGCAGGAAGGCGGGAGCGAGGTGGGAACAGCACCCACTGGGGGGGTCCGCACCCTCCACACCCCTGGACCCCCACACCCCGCCAGCCATCTACACAGAGCCATTGCAGACCAATTTACAGCAGTTCAGGGGACAACTAGTTCACTGAGTGGTTGTTTCCAGCATGGAAATACCCATGGAGACAGTGCAATACCCAGGCTGCTTCAAGTCATGGATTCAAATCCTGGGGGAAGGAGGGTCACACCAATTTGGCATTTTAAGGCAAATAAAAAGAGTTGTACCAAGCTTTGTGTGGAGGGTGATGGGGAGAGGTTTGAGAAAAGACCTTCAGACAAATCTGTTGTTTGGAGGCGTTAAAAAGCCAGTTGTGCTAATCCTGGCTGCTATGTTTTTAAGCTTCAAGTGCCACCGGTTGCATTATCTTGTTTCTTGGCTGCTTGAGACAGGAAAATTACATTTCAATTGCTTTTTAATTCAGCTTAATCTGGTGCAAAAGTTAGCGTGCACCCTCTAATTTTGTTTTCTGAGCGGTTTGTTTCCACTAATTCCTAATCAGCCAACGCTAAATCAAAACAGGCCTGGCTCAGGCTGAAATAGATGAGTCCTCGGCAACCTTGCCAAGCAATTTAATTAAATTGGCTTAAAATCACGCCCCCCAAGATAAGTGGGGGCAGCCTCCTGCACAGGCCAGCCCCCAGCTTTTGGTCCTCTGCCTGCAGAGCTCTGGCCCGAGGTGCTGCAGGGCGTGAATGTGGAAGGAGGATGTCAGAGGTTCATCCTTATCCTGGGCTGCTCTTTTTCTCCCCGCTCCTTCCATTTCCCCTCCACCTGCCAAGCACAATCAGCCCCATCCTGTTCAGTTCTCTGTCACTGCCAGCACAAGGAGGGAGGGGATGGGGAGAGAACACCCACGTGTGAAGGGATGAATGTCCCCCTCCCCGTGGGTTGCCCTGGTCCCTGATGGCATGAGAGGTGGCACTGCCACCCAGGAGCAGGCTGAGGGCGAGGGGGTGGATCTGAACCCGTGCTGAGGACACGGGCAGATCGATATTTGGGAAAGGGAACAACCACTGGGGGGGGCAGGGAGGGGAAGTTTTGGTTTTCAGCATAATAAGAAGGTTTCACAGCTAATGGAGAGCAAAGGAGATAAAACCCTAAATCTCCATGACAGTGTCCCCTGAGCTCAGCCTTGTGTGCTCAAGCTGAAAATCCACATCATGACAGGTATGAAAAGCTGTGGTTCTAGTTCAGAGGGGTTTTTTTGAGGCTGTTCTCCCACAGCCTGCCACCCTTCACCCCACCACTGCACCCTGCTGAGGCTCTGACTGGGGCAGATTTGAAAACACCCATTTTAAGCCCTGAGAGAAAAACCCTGATTTTCCCTCCTCTGTTTTTGTTGTTGTTTGTTTTTGTTTTTGTGTTTTTTTTCATGTTTCTTGAATAGGTTCACCCTCAGTGCCTGCAGAAAAGCTGCCAGTCAGGAAAGGTGGCATCTCTGTGGCAGGGTGAGACGAGGCAGAAACATCCCAGGATCCACTATGGGATGCTGCCTGGGCACAGCAGCTGGTTGGAGCAGCCCTTCTATGAGAGGGCAGAGAGGGAGCAGAGGGAGGGATCCCTGCCAGCCCCCAAACTTCTGCTCTCACACAGCAATGATGTAGTTCCATGAAGTTAACATCAGCAAATTATTTTTACCGAGGAAATATCCATGTGGGCTCCTGGAACAGCTGATGATGTAACTGCTGGTGGGTTATAGAGTCATCCTGGGTTGGAAGAGACCCACAAGGATCATCCACTCCAACCCCTGGCCCTGCACAGCACACCCCAACAATCCCACCCTGTCCCTCAGAGCGTTGTTGGCCGGGAGGTGCTCAGTGCTCTGTGCCAGGCCCAGGCTGAGTGACAGCCCCACGGCCACCAGAGCTGCTCTAATCAGGACATGCAGAAGGTGGGAGAAGGGATTTGTTGTTATCCCTGCCTCACTGCTGAGCCAGAGGCAAAGCCAAGCACTGCAGCTGGATTTTCTGAGGCTCAAGGTGCAGCTTGTTGTTGTTTCCTCTAATTTAGCGCAGCAGCCTCAAAAATGAGGTCGTGCTTTTCTCCTCCTCTGGTTTTCTCCCACTCCCCTGATTTTCTGCCCCTGCTCCTCTGCAGCTGGGGAGCCATGGAGATGTCAGTTCACTGAATCCTAGAGAATCACAGGATGGTTTGGGTTGGAAGGGACCTTAAAAGACCAACCAGTTCCACTCCCTGCCATGGGCAGGGACACCTTCCACTAGCCCAGGTTGCTCCAAGCCCTGTCCAACCTGGCCTTGGACACTTCCAGGGCTGGGGCAGCCACAGCTTCTCTGGCCAACCTGTGCCAGGGCCTCCCCACCCTCACAGGGGGGAATTTGTCCCCAACATCCCCTCTAACCCCACCCTCCATCAGTGGGAAGCCATTTCCCCTTATCCTGTCTCTCCAAGCCTCTATCCAAAGTCCTTTTCCAGCTCTCTTGGAGCCACTTTAGGCACTGGAAGGGGCTCAAAGGTCTCTCCAGAGCCTTCTCTTCTCCAGAGTGAACACCCCCGGCTCTCCCAGCCTGGCTTCACAGGAGAGAAAAGAATGAGGAAGGAAAAGAGGAGGAAGAGGAAAGAAGAACAGTTTTCCATCAATTCTTTTGGAACAGCTCCTGCTGTGGCCACGGGACCAACTCCGATGCTTTTCAAAGCAAAGTGTTCTCCATGGCCTCCTTCCAGCCAAGAAATGGGATCACTCTGAAATGCAGGTGATGAAAACCAAAAAGAGTCACACTGATGTTGTACAGAGTAGATCTAAATTTATCAATAAGGAGGCCTGGAAGAGCTGGGGATTCC